ACAATAATCACATGTTGGTTTTGGTAATTAATTATAGAGTTAATACCTAAAATCCCCTAAACTATCATATTTTTGTCAGTTTTCTACTTAAACTATTCTGTGTCCCCAAAACCTCCGAAACTATATTGTCCTTCATATTAAAAAGCCTTAATTGTAGTCTTAGAGGTGCGTGCCATATAGCACTACACATGACTATTTAACTTAGCCTAAAACTCGCCTAAATTATTATTTTTTTGTCAGTTACCTACTTAAACTATCTGATGTCTCCACCCTCTCCCCCTCCCCCCCTCCCCCAATCACCCTCCGAACTATATTCTCCTATATATTAAAACCTCATGTTGGGCTTTTAAAGGTGCGTCTGTCTAAGTATATTAACTTATGATTTGTAAAAAGTTCTTTATATAGTTTATTCATGATGTATTACTCTCGGATGATTGATTAAGTTTAGGAGTTTTGGCCAAAATAATATGTAATGTACTGTGTTAATTTTAGGTTTAATTGTGATTGTACTCTATGCTAAACTCCAATTGAATAAGTCCTTATTTATATTTACTTTGTAGCACAGTAAAAATATAAATAAAGGCATATAGTGTTGCATTTCTTAAAATCATCTTATAATACATAAAAAGTTTACACAAATTAAAATTTCGCAAATGAAAAAATAATTGGCCAACAATTACATTTTCTAATTTCAGATTACATAAAGAAGGTTCAAAATATTTAATTTTACTACAAGGTATTGAGTTTAATCAGAAGATTTAAATTAGTATTCTTTCAACAATATGTGTAAGACAAGAAAGAAGACTACAATAAGAAAGAGAAGAAATCATTTCATAGGAAACAAGAGAGGAAGAATTTTTTTCAGAGGAAACTCATATGGAGAACTGAAGAAAAAAGGTTAAAAAATGAAGAAGAAGGTGAAAAATAAAGAAGAAAGGTAAAAAAAGAGAGAGGAAGAATAGTGAAAAAATGAGGAAGAAAGGTGGATATAGCTGAAACAAGGAGAATATTTATTAAAAAAAATAAATATGAAAGAGGATTAGGCTAATTACCCATTATTTATGTCATATGAGCCATTTTGATGATTTTTTCAGCTACAACGCGCTATCAAGCGAGTGTTTACACACGTTATGTCAGATCAACAATAATGGGATTTTAATATGAAGGATAATATAGTTCATGAGGATTTTGGAGATACCGAATAATTTAAATAAGAAAATAAAAAAATATAATAGTTTGAGGGGAGTTTAGGGTATTAACTCTTAATTATATGCATCAAATAACTAATAGTTTAATTTTTGAAAAATACTCAAAAGGACTGTTTTACATGGGCACTAGGAAGTGAAAGCCACGTGTATTTACAGTATTATAAGTGAAATAAAGTCGTCAATGTCAAGTCATTTTCATGCGTTGTTTTATTAGGTGGCTCATCTGCTATAAATAGATGAATAGGATAACACTCTCCATCCTCAAAAAGAAAAACAGTAAACTCAGGAGATAGTAAGTTATGGCTGTTCACAGAGTTAGTTTCCTTGCTCTCCTCCTATTTGGTAAGGCTTTTCTTTTTAGCTTTATTTAAGGGAAAATACATAAAAATCCCCTCAAAATAGTCCACGTTACTCCGTTACAATCTTTAACTTTGGGAGACTCCTATTATCCATGATCTTACTTAAGGTGGTATTATTATGTGGGAAAGTCCTATTACCCCTTACTCGCTTAAAGTGGTATTATTAATTTCTTTCTTGGCTAACCTTAGTTTTTAGAAAGATAGTATTGTTACGCGCCAATCTTGTTATGCCACGTGTCATTTTATAAAAAAAAACTTTGATCTTTAATTTTTTTTCTTTTTTGTTTGGTAAGGCTTTTCTTTAAACTTCGATACTTTGCTGTAATTGAACATTAAATTTGCATTTCTTTAAGGGCACCAGCGCCCTCCCCCCATCCCCTTCTCCTTCTTCA